GTGGGAGTTAAGTGATTTCCCTTATTCCTTCTCACAAGAAGTGGGAGTAAAGTGATTTCCCTTATTCCTTCTCAAAGGAATAAGGGAAATCATTTCATAAACATGGAAATGCAGCAAATACTGTGTTTTTAACAAGAGAATCGAGTATTTTTTGGTAAAAGTTTTACATATACTATTTTGAGTGGGTTCTTAAAGGGGAGTGACCGGCTATGCAAAACTTCTTTTGGATTCATTTGATACTTTTTAAAGATCTGTAAATCCTGAGTTTGAGCGCAAATTCGACGTTCAAAACTCCTACTTTGGGGGTGGATACGTTTTCAGAATTAGTTTTTTAAATTATTAGATAACGACGACATAAAATGTAAAAAAGTTCTACAATAAACTACAGACGTCATGTATAGGAACATGTTGAGAAAATAAAAATTAATCTTATCATCGGAAATAAGTAATTTTGTTCAATTATTAGTTTCTATTTTCTCATTATTCTGGTTTCTCATTATTCACAAAGATTTTCGCAGATTTTCTAGAATTATTATTGAAAAGACGACATTTGAAGAATTTGAAGAACTCTGCGAATAAATTCAAAGAAGATAAGAAATTCAATATAATAATGAAAACGAAATAATCGATTTTAGCATTGATTTATTGACAAATTTCTTTTGAGAAATATGTTCCTAACCATCAAATTAGATTATTGTATAATTTTTACTTTATTTTCGTTGTCGTTATTTAATAATTTAAAAAACTAATTCTGAAAACGTATCCACCCCTAAAGTAAGAGTTTTGAACGTCGAATTTGCGCTCAAACTCAGGATTTACAGATCTTTAAAAAATTTAATATGTCTCAAATGAATCCGAAAGAAGTTTTCCACAACACTGCATACTCAGTTCAACTATCTTACATAGCCGGTCACTCCCTTTAAGTTTTATTTAAAATTGGAAATTGATCACTTTATTTAAAATTAAATATCAAGTCTTTAATCACATAATACGGCTCAGTTTCATTTGCCATAATATTTTTGCCATAATTACACTTGACATAATACTTTTGCCATAAGTAACACTTGCCATAAGTTACACTTGACATAAGTCACACTTGCCATAAGTTACACTTGCCATAATGGTTACACTTACCATAATTACACTTGATATAATTACTTTTGTCATAATTTTCCAATTTTTAAAAAGATGTAAATCTGTCTTTTTTATTGCAAATGTGGGAAATTTTCCAATGAAAATTCGCAACTTTAGTTTTCTCATTGTTTTAAAGCAGATTCAGCTCCATATTTTCTAGAGCTGAAAGAGTCACTATGAGAGGATTGCTAACATTGTCCTACAGTATAATACTCTTCCCATAGAAGAGTACCTAAACCTGATAGCTCATGAATTAATTCAAACCGAATTTGGTTTGAATTATGGCAAGAGTAATTATAGCAAGTGTAATTATGGCAAGTGTAACCATTATGGCAAGTGTAACTTATGGAAAGTGTGACTTATGGCAAGTGTTACTTATGGCAAATGTATTATGGCAAATGTAATTATGGCAAAAATATTTATGGCAAAAATATTATGGGAAATGAAACTGAGCTCATAATACATAATAATACATATACACAGCTAGTTAAACATTTAACAATTTAGATTGAGTTGATCCATCTGAAAAATATTATAATTATAACAAAATAAATTAATTGTAAAATTTTAGTGATTAGATTGTCTTTCAGATTTTTGTGATATTTTACAGTGAAAACCAGAAAACAAGGGAATAGAAAATGACTTTAATATTGCAATATTTAGTGTTTTTTATGTTGTTACAAAGCAAATACAAGAAACTTATTAAATCACTAATTTAGTAAATGGGTCTGTTTACACTGCACAATTGATGTGTCTTTTCCCATTGGGCTTTTTAAAGTTATAGATTTATCTCTAAACGTCGTCCTTGTATTTCAGAGTTTCTGGTTATCATTGTATGCTAAGCAAAAAGTTTTATTTTAGCTTTTCAGATTAGAATTTTTATCCTTTTAAAGTATATTAAAACAATGATAATTTCATAGCGTAATTGCAGAGTTTCTTTACAGCAGGACCGGAGGGATATTTCAACCCCCCCCCCCTCCCCCTCTTCCTGAAATTTACCTACGTTTTACCGAATAGTTCTCGAATGTTTGCATGATTTCAACAAATTGGTGTGCGCATATAATTATTAACTAAGAATTTACACAGCTGAAAAAATCATGAACTGATTTTGTAACGATAACTTTTTCGACTTTATCGAAATTATTCTTTAAGACTGTTATCTAATAATCTCAAAAGGCTTAATTGTTTAATTACATCATACACTGCAAGCAAGTCTAATTAAGATTAAAACTTCGTGTTATTTTTAAATCTTCATTTCGGAAAAGCTATTCAGAAAATGTTTTGAATTTCTAATATGTAACCATCATTAAACATTATAAAATCTAAACTAGAAGAACTACAGGGTCACAAAGTTGGACCAGTAATGCCGCATCACCGTCCACCGATGGGTCGAGCACCGCGAGTTAAGATTTCTGGTTTAAATAATGAAAAATTAAACAAATATACTTTAAATACATGAATAGTTAAGTTGATAGATAGATAGATGGATAGATGAGTACACTGTTATTTTAACTTCATAATTTATTAATAAAGTTGATAAGCACTTGATAACGTGAGTTCCTAGTACTCCAAATATTACGTATATATTATTAGATAGTTAATAAATTATCTGTCTTTAGTTAGTTACTAAGTTATCGAAAATGTTATTTAACATATTAATCAGGAATTTAGTTTAGTAGTAAGTTAGTTGGTTATAAAGTTAGTATAGTAGCATATTAGTCATAGTTAGTTAGGCAGTTAGTTAGTTAATTTTTTATTAAGATAGTTAGAAACTTTGTACGTTAGTTATTAAGTTATTAAGTTAGTAAATTAGTTAGTACGTAAATTAGTCTGTAAGTTAGTTATTAAGTTAGTAAATTAGTTTAAAAGATATTTGTTAATTAGTTAGCAAGTTAGCCGGTAAGCTCGTTAGAAAGTTATACTGGATGAGCTAGATTATTATGTAATTATTGTATTATTAGTTAGTTAGTTAGTCGATTTATTTCCCAAATTCGAATACCAAAAATCGGAAATACTACTTTTAATGGAGATAAAAAATGTGTCATAAGAAATATATATGACACAATCGAGTTTGTTTTTTCAAGGTAATTTCCGGTAAGAAACAGACAACTGTTTCCTTTACATGATTAGTCAAATTAGTCAGATTTGATTTAGTTAGGATAAAACTCAGGTAAAAACAAGGGATGATTAATTACGCATAAAAAAAACAGAAAACGTTGTTATTTATCTGAAAAATGTTGTTATTTATCTGAAAAATGTTATTTTTAGCTGAAAAACGTTGTTATGAATCTGAAAAACGTTGTTATTTAGCTGAAAAAGTTGTTATTTATCTGAATTCATTGTTATTAATCTGAATAATGTTGTTATTTAGCTAAAAAACATATCTTCATAATAGTTTATTTAAGACATTTAAAAAAAAATAAAGAAATTAAATCAATCTTTTGTTAGTTTTTGGCGATATGATTTTTTTGAAAATAAAACGCCTTGAAAATTGTTTGAATTCGCCCTGAAGAATCCATGGAGCCTAAACTGTAGATAGAAAGATAAAAAGATAGATGAATAGAAAAATATAAATATAAAAAATAATGTAAACAGATAACTGATTGATTAATAGGACTCAAGATCAAATACTGACAAGGGATGCAAATCAGGGGCGTATGTTTAATACAGGGGGGGGGGCAGATAAATATATTTGTTTTAATCAGTCAAAATACATGCATTCCAATTCTAAGAACCAAATTTTATGTGTATGATAAATTTTGATTTATTGAAAAGCACCTCTGACCCTCTAGTAAAAGTAAATTCAACCTAAAGTCTGACCGCGTCAACCTTGTTGCACCGGCTAGTCCTATTGTGTGTCTGCTTTATTTACACAATGTCCGGGCGATACAGTACAAACTGGGACCGGAAGGGTTGACCCGTGTACCAGCAATTGTCAATAGCTGGTCGAGAAAAGGAGTTATGATAAAAATCATATAATATTTCAATCTAACGAGTATTTGACTTTAGTTTGATGTGAAATACAGAATATTTTACAATTTTAAAAGATTCTACGATCTGAGCTTTAAAACGATAATTCTAATTCTGAACAGGATTCCATCACACCTCTCCCTAAATGCTTTCATTTACTTTACTTATGGTATAAACCTTTATGACATGTTTACAAAATCTGTTAAAAACTTTTTTAAAGTTTACGTTTCCTTATCAAATCCTGAAATTTTATACACGCGACAAATTGATAAAATTTTCAAATATTTTTTTTATTCGGCATTCGTCGGCACAAGTACAGTGATAACCACAAAACTCTGAAATAAGAAGATGACTTTTAAAAACCATTTGTTTGGTAACAACATCAAATACAAGTTTTGTTATAATGTCGTCTTCCTAATCGACTGTTTTCTGTTTATCACTGTACAAGAAAAGCAAATTTATTTGGATACATTATGCATATAAACTAAAAAATTTTAAACATTTTGTTCCTTCACACTCCTGTATGCCGAGTCCATTAGCGCCTGATCCAATCAGGGTTCAGAGTCATGTACGTGTGTGTTGTCTATTCATCTGAACCAATAGAATTAGTATGGCGGTAACATCTATCTTTCTTTCTATACTCATCATTCAATTAGAGTTAAATCCTTTGATCAGTGTTAAACAGTAAATGGAAATATTTACTTCTACTGAAACACTAAAGTGATGGCGCGGAGTCATAGAGAGGTTGTATTTGAAAATGTCTCGTAATATTTGTTATATGAGTCGTACTAGCATACAGAGTTTTATTTAAAAGTCTACATGATTCATTCGCTAAATTGTCTTGGGCATTTCTGGCCCACCACGCCCACCTCGTCGCTGATTGGTTAAGAATCCTGATATCTTGACTGGTATTGGCTGGATTTTGGCGGCCAATGTATAGGTGGCGGCCGAGTGTTCTGACTGCACTGTCCAATGTTTGAATGGGCAGTAGTGAATGAGTATTGAGGTATTAGACTAGTTACACTTATCTATACAACACTTATCAACCCTCAAAGCAAGGTCAGATAAGGTTTTTTTCAAAAGTCTTATCAAAACATTGAAAATGCACAAAAATGCAACTTTAACAATTAACTTTTTTTCCAATTTTTTTTTCGTCCATAATAAAACATTTTACATTCGACAGTAGTGCGCATTATTTAGATTTGTTGTAAATGAACCATCGCATAAAAATATCAAATTTACAGGTCAATATATTGGACATTATTTAATTGTCCTTTTTTTGCATCAGAGAATAGAAAGATTAATTAAAACTTGGGTTCAAAACTTTTAAAGAATTAATACGCGTTCGGGAATCGGGTGAATCATAAAATCTTAAATATCATCAACAATAAGTTTTGTACAGGGTTATAAACGCCGAAATTTGTCTTTTTGAAATATAAAAAATATCATTTGTTTTGTTAATTATGATGGATGGATAAAATAAATGGACCTGGAAGATGATCAAAGATTGAATTTCTTCAGGTTTATATTATTCATAATAGGGACAGACAGATTTCGGCGTTTTTGACTCTAAATGAAGAGCCGTCCCTATCTGGCATATTTTTATTATTTGGTGATCCATGCTCACGGTAAACTAACGGTCCTGATTTAAAGTTTAGTAACTTTATAACATTACAAACCCATGTTCACCCATTAAATGTAAATCTTTTATCTATATAATAAAACAAGACATTCGTATATATATGTTGCCTTTAGCCGGCCAAACGGCTGGACCGATTGGGTTGAAATTTTCTGTGGACACTCAGGGGTGGCCGGGGGGTGTTATAGGCTAAAAAAATCTTTTTTTTCAAAAATTTCTTTTTGTTTCAAATTTTTTTATCCACGGGCAACGCCGGGCCCTTCAGCTAGTGTTTGCTATCTCATATTTTTTGGGGGGCTGTTTATTTCAAAAATTAAAGAAATTAATTATTTTTGACCTATTTTGAAAAAGACATCAAAATATGAATGAAAATATTCCGATACAGAAACGATGCACTTCGGTTTAGTTAGTTTTACGTGTAGAGCACCTTTGCTTTGAGGAATTCTGGCATTAAATAATTCAGGATTTTGCCAAGTTTATTCAGACAAACCTGAAGATTAAACCAGTTAGATGTAGATGGTAGATGGTACATGTTACTGTTAGTATCAGAATCTTGCGAGATTTTGGTACCAGAATCCTGGTAGGTTAGTATCAGAATCCTGGTAGATTTTTGTATCAGAATCCTGGTAGGTTAGTATATCAGAATCCTGGTGGATGTTAGTATCAGAATCCTGGTAGATGTAAGTATTAGAATCCTGGTAGATGTTAGTATCAGAATCCTGGTAGATGTTAGTATCAGAATCCTGGTAGATGTTAGTATCAGAATCCTGGTAGATGTTAGTATCAGAATCCTGGTAGGTTAGTATCAGAATCCTGGTAGATGTTAGTATCAGAATCCTGGTAGATGGTTGTGTCAGAATTTACTAAATAATGAGAAGTATTTAAATCTTAATATTTATTAAATTGTTCCCATGAAAATAGAACTCCCATTAGGGAGTATACAAACATCAATTGAATCACCTATCATCTCTCTTATTACATATGCCTGTAATCCAGCACCCGTATGGGTTATATGGCGTATATTCAGGGTGTCCAACGAAAAATTACCCGTTTCTAACAGAACATATAAGATTTAAGTGATTCGAACATTTGAAGTTGATTACTATACTTTCTAGGATATTAGAAACAAGGTTGACCAAAAAGAATGAGTCTAAGGTTTTTTATAGCCTTTTAAAACTACGTTAATGATTTGTTCAGAAGCTTTTCAACTAGTTTCTTTCTTTGCCAAATATCTAATATTTTCGAGAAAATTAACCCGATTCAATCTAATCATTTGCGGGTAACATTGTATGCTGTATTTCAAGTTAGATAGCAAAATTTAGGGTCAAGCCCTCCACCCCCTCCCCCCTGTCCCCTTAAAATCTGTCAAAAAATTCAATGTCACTTATTTAGAACTATTTATGTTCCCATGGTGCTTGTTTATCGTTATAAAAAGCGTGTTATAAGGAACTTTGTATTAAACTGACGGACAGGGACAAGTAATAAATCATTAATCACTGCATCAACACTCATCATATTACACTAAAATCAATAGCAAAAAAAATAATCAAAAATATATTTTTAATTTAAGATGGAGTACACAGAGAGCTGTGGAGATATTTACAAAGAGGGTGAAGAACCATCAATTACACCGCTTACAGATGTGTTTTCTTACGACGTTCATGTACCGTTGTACAAAGACGATGTTGTTTTGTACAAAGAAGGAATGCCATCTTTTCGGGAACTGCTTCCTGCACCCCCCTACATGGATCAGAATAATATTTATTTTGACGTGATTCCATCCCTTCCATCATTGACTCCTCTTTCTCCTAGCTCCACCTCCTCATCCTCCTCCTCCTCCTCCTCCTCCTCCCTCCCCAACCTTCTGACACCTCCCTACAACGGAAAAGAAGATATTCTTACTTCTGCTTTCAACATGACCCTCTTAAATACTGATGCAGGTATAAACTTAATAATTCTGAACTGAAAAATAATCAATATTTGCTATACCAAAAATAATAAAAATAAATCATCTTTAAAATAGTTTTTGTTCCGCTTTTAAAAACATTTGTGTAACAAATATCTGAATTTTGTTTATCTAATGCCTAAATTAAGTGCGTCACATAAGTTTACCATTTTTACATCATACAAAATGAACCAATTAAAAGTTAAAAACACAGATAAGACTTTATGTTAGCAACAATCAATAAACTGAGCGCAATTCTATAGTTAGAACCCGACTAATCAAAACTGGTTTTTGGACCAATCTAATACTGTAATTAAATACAAATAACATTATTTAGAAATGACAGTTGGTGATATGCATGTACCGACTATCAATGGACAGTATAGTTATGGTTATGATGGTTATGATTATAACTATCCCAACTATCCTGGATATCAAATCAACTATACCAGAAACCCAGACCTGGAGAATGCAGTGTTTCTTGAACACAACGAGGAGATGGGAGAAGGGCGGTACAGTACACCACCCGACAGTCGGTACGGTACACCTGACCAGCAGTACAGTACAGTGGAGGACAGGTACACGGCATCACCCAACCAGTCCTACTCTGATGGAGAGAGCAGGCACTCCGACTCAATCTGGGCACAACAGTACGCACACAATCCATGTAAGTATTTTTTTGTCGTTCAAATAATAGGTTCCAAAAAATGTGCAAAATATCTGAATTTTCGAAAGAAGATATGTGTTAAATTTTAAGTTTGGTTTTAAGCATCTTTCTTCAGAAGATTGTTAAAAGATTAAGTTTATTAGGCTTCATTTTCGTATTTTTATTATAAATTTCAAAAGAAAGGGTTACTAACAATAAAATTAACAAATCACTGACCAATAATTATTTTGGCAAAACTCAAACCATTCAAATTCTGGGTTAAGAAAGTGAGATTAAACCACCCATGGTTGCTCAAGAGAGAGTTGAAAGTGACAATATCCGTTCTTGGTCTAAACTTCCGTTTTGCGTGTTGACTTTGTGTAATGAAATGGAAACTGTAGTTTTACAACTTCCGACTGTAGTTGGCACACTTCGGACTAGATGGTTTATTTGTTTGCTGGGTAGTTGGTTTGTTTACATTCATGCAGTTACCTACTACACTATATATATGGGTCACCAACACTAGGTGGTGAAAACAAATAGAGGGGGGGAGGGCAGAATGAGGGGGGGGAGTAAAAGTATTAAAAACAATTAATTGAGCTGGGGCTGGTCTGAAGGGTGGGTGTTATTGAAACATAATCCATAATACAAGAAAATAAGCTCAACAAAACATCAAGTTTAAAAGAGAAATCTTAGAATAAATATGGAAACATTGATTGAAAGCAATTAAAATACTTAAAAGGGGCGGGGAGGGGAGAAGAGGTTCCAGAAAATTATACAATTTTTATTGTTCGCATATGCTGAATAATTATACAAAAACATCCGATTTAAGTCCTTAGAAATTAGAAATCTTTTAGAATTTCCCCCACCCCTCTTCAGCAGTCAACAGATTCACCTTGAATTCCCAAATTATGGCTGAGACAATAACCCTTAAAGACAATTCATTTTGTGAAGACCTTTATTTCTAAATACCTAAATAACATAATGTCTACATTTCCTGTTCCATATGTCTGATTATCATTATTGCTACATTTTTATATAACTAAATAACATTATGCCTACATTTCTAAATGTTTTAATTACATTTATCTGGATTTCTGAATACATAAATAACATTATGCCTATATTTCTGAATAACTAAAGTTCATGATGCCTACATTCTGAATACATAAATAACATTATGCCTATATTTCTGAATAACTAATGTTCATAATGCCTACATTCCGAATGTATAGATTACATTATGATATGCCTACATTTCAAAATGCCTGATTATCGTTATGCCTATAATTCTGTACAACTGAGTAACATTTTGCCTAAATGTAAAAATGCTATTCAAAACGTGACAATTTTCGGGGAAAAAATCAAAAATAAACTTTAAACAAATTGGAATTATTTAACTGTGTTTGATTAGATCCCAGGGATGATCTGAGTTTTTGCATAACAGGGACCAGAGAGGAGTTCTGCCCTCAGGAAACAGGACAAGAACAGGAACAGTTTTTATACAGGTAAACAAGAATGCAGGAATAGTTTTTATACAGGAAACAGGACAAGAGCAGGAAGTGTTTTTAAAAAGGTAAACAAGATCAAGAACAGTTTTTTAACAGGTAAACAAGGACAAGAAGTGTTTTTAAACAGGTAAACAAGAACAAGAACAGTGTTTAAACAGCTAAACAAGAACAAGAACAGTTTTTAATCAGGAAACAAGAACAAGACCAATGTTTAAACAGGTACACAAGAACAAGAACAGTGTATAAACAGGTAAACAAGAACAGGAACAGTGTTTAAACAAGTACACAAGAACAAGAACAGTTTTTAAACAGGAAACAAGAACAGGAACAGTGTTTAAACAGGTAAACAAGAACAAGAACAGTGTATAAACAGGTAAACAAGAACAGGAGCAGTGTTTAAACAAGTAAACAAGAACAAGAACAGTGTATAAACAGGTAAACAAGAACAGGAGCAGTGTTTAAACAAGTAAACAAGAACAAGAACAGTGTTAAAACAGGTTAACAAGAACAGGAACAGGCAAAGCATCATGGAAATAATTTTTACTAATTTTATTTTCAAGAAGTTATTCTCTAGTTTTCTTTAGTGAGAAAATGAAGATTTGGTGTAATTCCAAATCTGAGAACATTCACTTTAAATATATTTTGTTCAGGTTTCCTAACGGTTCAAGTTCTCCTGTTCATCACTTTAAATATATTTTGTTTAGGTTTCCTAACGGATCAAGTTCTCCTGTTCATCACTTTAAATATATTTTGTTTAGGTTTCCTAACGGATCAAGTTCTCCTGTTCATCACTTTAAATATATTTTGTT